ACTTAAAAAAGAAAACGCTGTTTTTCAACACGAGTTATCTTCAACAACTTCAAGACGGAGCATTTAACAGATGAGAACAAGTAAGATAACTTTACTGTGTGACACATCTACAAGTAGGGATCGTCCAATCGTTCTGAAACATTATCGGTACAACATCTTCAATAAGTTGCACTAGCTTTCTCACTCAGGTGTTCATACAACCATCAAGCTCATCGTCTGTTGTTAATAAAAACGTGAGGTATTGATCACGCTCCTGTATAGGCTGTTAGAAGTCTAGGGTGATTAGACACCAAAAATTTTCTTTTAGGCTCCTCTGCAACTCCAGACTATATTTTCAACCATGTTCAACTGGATTTGATAGGAACCTCACCTCCTCTAACAACCAGAGCAATAATTAATATAGGTACATGAAATGTTCGGACAATGTAAGAGACAAGTAGGAACCAGTCAAATGACTACGGAAATGAGAAGATACAACTTGGCTGTTAAAGGAATCAACGAAACACATAAGACCTAAACTGTACAGAATAGGTTAGATCAAGGAGAGGTGCTGTTGTACTCCAGTCAAGAAGAGAATGCTCAGAGCACTCAAGGAGTTACTCTGATATTGTCCAAAGAAAGCACCCAAAGCACTTATACGATGGGAATCTCATCGACTCAGGCTCATTAAAGCATCTTTCAAAACAAAGAAGGGAATCACAATGAATGTTATCCAATGTTATGCACCCATTAATGATGGCAATGACGACGATAAAGGTCAATCTTAAAAGAGGCTTCAATCAATCATAGTGAAGTGCTAAGGAAAAAACTCAGACTTATGGGGGACCCAAACGACGAATTCGGAAATCACACGACCGGATATGAAGATATCACGGAATGACATGGATCGGGAGAACGGGAAGAGAGTAACGAGAGATTTGAAAATGTTTTTTTCAACAAAACAGTTAAGGATGGCACAATATTACCCCACAAACCCATTCACAAAGTTAAATGAGTTTCGCCGGATCACACCACGTAGAACCAAATCTATAACATTTGCATCACTAAAATCTTCAAAGGGTCAATGGAAGAGGTGAGATCTGGAAGAAGAGCTGACATAGATACAGATCACCACCAACTGATGGTTATTAAGGCCTCAGATATTCCAGAAGATATAAGCTTGAAGCTCCTGAAAGCCACCAACTTCGCATGTATCTATTCTCGACCATCAGTTGTATGTTGCAACGCTACCTCCATAAAGTGCGCCAATTGTGATACTGACAACATGTTTCTTACGAAATCCATGTGGAGGCAAGATTTGAGAAAACAAGAGCAGCATTCCTACGGGCGAAGAACATATTAAACTCATAACAACTGTCTGCAGGTCAACGTCAAAGTGAGAATCTTTAATACGAACGTTAACATATTTCGACTGTACGGAGGTGAATCTTCGAGAACTAGCACAACCATCAAAAATGTGCAAGTATTTATAGACAATTGTCTTCACAGAATACATAATGTCTGTTCACCGGATACCATCAGCAACAACCTACTGTGGGAGAGAACAAACCAACTTACGATTGAAGAGGAAATTAGCAGACAGTGGAAGTGAATAGGACACACATTGAGGAAATCATCTGACTGAATCACGAAGTGCTAACTTGAAATCTTGAAGGGAAACGGAAGAGAGGCCAAAGAACACATTGAGTCGAGAATGGGAAGCGGACATCAGGAGAATAAATATCTACTGAAAACAACCTGAAGGGATTGCACAGGACAGAGGTGGATGGAGAGTATTAACAAGCGGCCCATACTCCTCCACGGTGGTTAACAGGTTTAAGCTATCAGATTTAAATGGGCACTCTCTAACCTTACCGTTTGTGAATCGTTTCAGACGATGGTCGGAAACAGTACTCATCAAGGACATAACTGTCGAAACAGTGACCCTTGCCTTCGTCGGACGATGGGTAGAAACACAGACCGCCTCTCGATTATTGCTATAGACCGTGGATACCAGTTTCAATCTGGATTGTTCCGTAGTCCTACTACACTACTAGGGACCATAAGATTTCGAACGACCGCATACCATACAAAAGCTTTTAGAATTATGGTCTACTTCGATTTTAGTACTGCCCTAATGATACTTACTTACTTACGCCTGTTACCCCTCGTCGAGGAGCATAGGCCGCTCACCAGCATTCTCCATACAACTCTGTCCTGAGCCTTCCTTTCCAGTTCTTTCCAGTTGCTATTCAGCCTTTTCATATAGGCTTCTATTTCCCGGCGTAGTGTGTTCTTTGGCCTTCCTCTTTTCCGCTTCCCTTCCGGATTCCAAGTTAGGGATTGAGTCGTGATGCACATTGGTGATTTCCTCAATGTATGTCCGATCCACTTCCAACGTCTTTTCCTAATTTCCTCTTCAGCTGGAAGATGGTTTGTCCTCTCCCATAAAACGCTGTTGCTGATAGTATCCGGCCAATGGATGTTGAGTATTTTGCGTAGACAACTGTTTATAAATACTTGTACCTTCCTGACGATGTAGTTAGTAGTTCTCCACGTTTCAGCTCCATACAGCAGGACTGTCTTGACGTTCGTATTAAAGATTCTCACCTTGAAATTGGTTGAGAGTTGTTTTGAGTTCCATATGTTCTGCAATTGTAGAAATGCTGCCCTTGCTTTGCCAATCCTTGCCTTTACATCTGCATCCGATCCTCCTTGTTTATCAACGATGCTCCCCAGGTACTTGAATGTTTCCACCTCTTCCAGAGTTTCGCCATCAAGTGTGATTGGGTCGGTGTTCTCCGTGTTGCATTTGAGAATCTTGCTTTTTCCTTTGTGAATGTGGAGGCCTATCGATGCGGAGGCTGCTGCTACATTTGCTGTTTTCATCTGCATTTGGTCGTGTGTATGAGAGAGGAGGGCTAGGTCATCTGCGAAGTCCAAATCATCTAATTGATTCTGAGAAGTCCATTGTATTCCGTATTTCCCTTCAGATGTCGAATTCGTCATAATCCAGTCAATCACTAGAAGGAAGAGAAATGGGGAGAGGCCCTAATGATAGGACTAATCTTAAAAATGTAAATTTGTCATAATGTGACTATTCGATATATAAGATCTTACGTGGAGGTCACATAATTGTCCACACTGACTCGTCTTATAGTAATCATCAATATATGGTGGAGAACACATTCAAATTGGAGATAGAACAATATATTTCTCATGAATAAAAGTGATAAGACAGCATACTTGAGTCACCACGCCTGCAAGACTGAACCATGCCACCCGATTGGATTGAATTGAATTCCGTCCTCTCGCCTTCTCCATCGTTGAGTTTTTCTCCGTGTTAAATGTTAAATATTTATTCTCCCAGTTGTCTCGTGTTCAGCTTTGAGGAATATGTGGTTAGGGCCCAATGCTATTACAAGCTGACGAGATGGCAGAACAACTTTACCGACAGTTAAGGGCTTCACCTAGCTGCTATACTTCATAGTGAACTGACTCGCTTCCACTCATATAACTTGGTGTTCGCTATGCTGTGAAAGTTGATGTTGGATACACTGCGGCTCAACCGGATTATGTCAAGGCACTCCGACTTTAAGGAGACGTTGCGGGTCCCTATTTCACTTCAATGACCATGGGATCTAGATTCTCACCCAAGCAGGCTTACAACCGCCATGAGTTCAGTCACACCTGATTTCACTCGACTTCTGTCAACTGGTGTTTTCGTTCAATCTTACTTTCGATACAGTACATATGTTTTCCTTCGTCGTGATCCATTACGACAACCCCTCGAAATGCTATGCAAAGGAACTTTCAAAGTCTTTCATCGCAAACGTAAATGCTGTATCACCGATAAAACGGAACCAACGTTAACGTCAGCATTAACTGTCTTAAAGCAGCATATTCAGAAGACAACCTCAATAGTGTTGTTTCTCGTCAACAACACGAGCCTCACAATTGCTATGCCTTCCCTGATAATCGACAATCACAGCGAAACTTCACCGGTATCCGTAAACCGGCTCAAAACAACGAGCTCTGGAAGAAGGGTACAGTTTCCGGGATACTTGAACGATTAGTGCGTAACGTTTTGTTTTATCTCGCTTGTTAGTATTGTTATATCAATAAAAACAAACATTTTTTCGTTATTCACAATTTTCGTATCCTTACGTAAGAGTGCATTTCAGCATGTATTTACAATTTTCTTCTTTCCCAGGACGGTCGGAAAAGATAAAAAACCGACGAAGAATACGATGAATAGAATTTTTTTTACCGTATGTTTTACATTCCTATTTTAAAACACATTATGAACCAGATGTCGCTTAACATAGCGAGCTATCAGAAGAGTGTTCACTAACGGCAGGCTCGTTGGGTCTAAACTTCTCTCTGGCCACATCTTACAGTCATCACTAATCCACCGATGGCTGAGTGAGCTGTAGTAATTAATAAATTACCAAAATAAATAGTTATGTTAGTCTTCGGCATTGATACTGACCTCATTAGTTCTTCTGGACACAACTTAGCTGAAAGTGTTCGGTCACGCATTCTCACCAGATCACGAGTGGGTATGTCGTGCTACACATCCCTTGTTAATCAGCTTAGACCAAATGATTTTCAATACATCGATAGCTTTTCAAATACATATATGAATACTCCATTTCTGACTTCTGATTTGATTGGGTCGGTATCCTTCGGTTACAAAGATGTTGCATGTAAATGCGTTGTCAAACTCACAATATCTGTGGCATCTTTATGTTAAACTGAGATGAAATATTATGCAACGGGTGACAATAAACCGTCAAAACTATAATTTTGAAAAAGTGACTTGACAATATTTAAATTTTTATGGAGGACATTTACTACACTTTCCACAAATTCATACTGATAACTGTTAGTGCTTCCAGTTACGCAGTTTCACTAGAAGTAAAAGACACATAGTTATAAATATAATCTTAAAATAAAGCTCAGAGTCTGCCAAAAAATCACAAAGCTTCGTTACATTGTAATGTTGGTTGATGATCATATCTAGCTGTTTAAACCAACAAGATATTATTGACTGAATTAGACTCACTATTTCTCCATAAGATATAACAACACCAACCCTTTCGAGCATGCTCAGACCATAGAACATAAATCCTTGGTAAAAACTCACTCCATATTCTACAAAAGCTATTTAAACTGATCTTCGGTTTTAACCCGAGTGTGTGTTGTTTAAATCCATACTTTCTTCAGTAGTTAGGCTGGGTTGAATTTCTTGGGGTTGTTAGGGTACCTTGGTTATCATGAGCAAAATCCCCAGAAAAGGTGAGAGTTTAAGAGGTCATGTAAAAAATCTGTATGTATAAATATCTTTTTAAGACTTCGTATACCTATACTCACATTTTAACTGACCTTTTATTTAGTCGTCGCCCTACAAAGCAAGAAGAAAAACAAGCAAATTAAGAAAAATGCCACAAAAGACAAACCTACTGGAAACAAGTGGTAAGTTTTGTCCTTGTTTTTACGATTTTACTCAATGTTTTTGTTACTGTCAATATCGGCATCTTGGAACGTCGTGGAACCACGACGACCACTGTCCTGAATAAAAAAAATCAAGTTGTTGTTAAGATTACTAGACATATAGCATTGAATGACTTACTTCACTCTGTTTAATGCTTTTTGCATTGTAGTAACGGTGCTGTAGAAGAACGACTTCAAACGCAGGACGACTCCATGCCAAAATCTGAACAAGAGCCAACATACTGTGAGTACTCGCGAGATGAAGAAGTATTGGAGGAGGAAGAGATTCTCGGCAGTGATGACGATGAGCAAGAAGATCCTCGGGACTACTGTATAGGTTGGTACTCATTTTAAGTAGGTTAATCCAATCTAGGTGGATACCATCCTGTTAAGATCGGGCAGGTATATAATTCGCGTTACCACGTCGTCCGTAAGCTTGGTTGGGGGCACTTTTCCACTGTATGGTTATGCTGGGATTTATGGTTAGCTCAATATTACATTGTACTAACGTCTATAGTTCAAAACGTTTCGTTGCAATGAAAGTAGTCAAGAGTGCTCCGCACTACACAGAAACAGCTCTTGATGAAATCAAGCTGCTGTCATGCGTAAGTTTCCGGCAAAAAAATAATTTAGTTAGGTCCGCGAATCTGCCCCAGATGATCCATTCCGGAAGAAAACAGTTCAATTGCTAGATGATTTCAGAGTGTCTGGTGTAAATGGGAACCGTATCCTTTTATCCTATTGTTCATTTACTCGTACCCATCGAGTTTTCTAATTACGTCATTCTGGTATGTATTTTCACCATCTTTATCATCGTAGTGAGACTCCCTGGCCATGCACAGTCATACCCTTAGACGTCGAAACTGGGTCCACCCAGTAATTTTCGCTACAATCTGCCAGTGTATGGGATTCTATACGTAAAATCACCATGGTGCCAAACAGCAGAAATATCTTGGCAGCTCTTGAGAATATCTGGCTTGTTGCATACTTTCTGCAATGTATATCTCTAATTTGCTTTGGCAATCTACTTGCCATTAAAATCTCCATAATTCATTTCGCCGGTTACATATACCTTACACGCAGACTTCCCGATGACGTGCACTGATAAATCCCAACATCCAACATTTCTGGGTTCTCAGTAGTCCATGCATTTGCTTTGTATTGTAATTATCAATTAGCCATAGGCAGTTTAATAACTTTTTAAGCTACTTGCTATCAGCGTATAGGGCTTGTTCTGTAATCATTGTTTTTAAGCACATGCTATCAACCACAATATGCTTAAGCTCTTATGTCTCATTTTTCGAAGTCTTCATGCTATGGTTTTTTTAACTATTACTTAGATGTCTGTATGATATTTGAGGTTCTTGGCCATAATTTATTAAAGCTTATAATCAGGTCTCAGTACCGAGGCATTCCGCTCGAAAATGTTCGTTCTATTATTAAACAAGTAAGTATAGATTATCCTATTTTCCTTCAGTGTTCGCAACTTCCAAGTTGCTGTTTGTGTCGTTTCCACGGTCTTGCTTTTATTGTGCTTCTAAATTATTGATGCCCAAGCGAAATTAGCTCAAGCCCTTACTATATATATATATATAGAGAGAGAGAGAGAGAGAGAACTAGTCAATAAACGCACTTCGTTGCAAACATTATCCAGGAAACTTACAGTTGGTAAACTGGCTTGCCAGTATACCAAGTATTAGTTTACAAAGGACGTTCTTGGAAATTCAAACAGATTTCAGTAAGAAATGTTAACCATTGAAACGCTAGAGCAACGTAGTGGCCGTAATAAATACCTGATTAGGAAGACTATCAACTTATCACAGTGACGCGTGAATTAACTACTGGTTACCTGGACCATGAGATTTGTTTATTTGAGAGGTCAGGGTACTTCGGCACGTTTGATAATAAGCTAAGCGTATAACCATCGACAGACTAAATCCTCGAGAGATATTTGGAATTTTTCCTCACAGATAATCTCTGATATTAAGTGGACATTTGTTGTTTTCAGCGTTCATTTTTTTGAGGACCAGATGTACCAAAACTGGTTTCTATGTTATCCCAGTATTTTGTAAAACAGTTGTATCATTGGTACAAGGAAGTTCCATATCACTCATTAAGTGGGCCCTACTCATGGCATCAGTAGAAGCTCACTGAGAGTAAGCTTACGAAACGTTTGCGTTTCCCTGTAGCTTGTGACAATCACTAAGTTTATGATCCTAAGTTAGGAGGTCGCGGAAATTCAGCCCTCTCCCCTGAAGTATCGATACCATGTAAAATATACTGAGCGAGTCAAACAGTTTGTTAGGTGAATTTTCATCCCATTCAGCAGTGTATGCAATTGTATAATTGCTCCTAAAAAGCAGTAATAGGTGAGGTCTATGGAAATTTATGGAAATTTTGTTTACTCATCTAAACACAAATAAACACGCCGCACAAACAAACCAAGCTGTGAAATGATAAACAGAGAATGAATACGATCATGAAACAAATGAGTAAAAATAAGTAAACAAGGATGTACGATGGGTGAGACAGTTCATCTAAGAAAAGTGCTATCAGAGTCTTTCTGCTTATAGCAAGGCCGCCACTACTAAGCTATGTTTGATAACCTTAAGTCACTAAGTTGCGTTGTCTATCGGACCCCAACCAAAGCGCTGTAATATACTGATGACAGTTTCATACAATTTACTTTCACACCCCAACACCGTATCCTACAGTGAACAATTCTGCTTTTCCAACCACTTTTTAATATTGGCAAATAAAGCGCGATATTTTATGTTTGGTCTTGGCGTGTAAAGTAACCAAAGCGTAGTCATCGTAAGTATATATGGGATTCTCACTGTCGCCGTTATCTAAACTGTCAGATCCTTAAAACTTACTCATTTTTTATAATCGAAAAGACGCTGGATTTACTGTATGTTTTAGGCTTTTAATCATAAAATAACTAATAAATTATTTAATAAATGATTATCTTATCTTTAGACCCTTCAAGGACTTCACTACTTGCACACAAAGTGTCACATTATTCATACAGATATCAAACCGGAAAACATTTTGGTTTGTATTTCGGATTCTCAAATTCGTAGGATGGCAGCGGAGGCCCTCGATGCTCAAAGGCGAGGTGTACAGCTGTCAGGTTCTGCAGGTGAGATTTTTTAGTAACAATTTTTTAATTGATTACAAAACGAAGCTTAAATGGTATCCGTACAGAATAATCTAGCAAGTCAAGTTATCATATTCGGTAGTATTTTAAATCTTTGGTGGATTAAATTATAGCTCTTGACGGGGTTGTAATCCCGCGATTCATAAGTTTAAATACCTAACTCTTCACTATCGATAACACGTCTAGTTCATGTTTTAATTATCCATATTCAAATACACCGTTGAATCGACAACTGTATCTCTGCTGATGTGGTATGACAACTCGAACTGATGTACGTACGTACGAAGTTCTACGTTGTAACTAACTGGCTGACTGTTCCAAAACTATGTGCAGAAGTCTATATTTAGTATCTAGACTATATCATATTCTCGCTGAAAATGGGGAGAATTGAATCATAAGACAAGTCATTTTGTAGTATACACTAACTACCAAATGCTTTGTAAGGATATTCTAGTTGTTCGTGATTCGCATAATTTTTATTCTCTCACAGATTCACTACATTGTGATGGCACTAATTATCAAACATTTTGTTTAGACCGTTATGGTTTGTTGCCTATAATCACTAACAATGAGTCCGTTAACGTAGCTACTGTATATGTTAAACAATCATTAACTCATCCAATACTCATTCGTCCCCAGTCTACTAACCATAACTTCGGGATGGTCACCCATGTCGCTTGTTTTGTATTATTAGGACTTTAAGTCACGTGATCGTATTCGTATGAGACCATAAGTCACCATAACCATTAAATTTTAATATACACATTACTGAAGTATTATTAGCATAAATCTAAGTAAATACTCTATAGTTAATTCACTAATTAAGGGATGATACTAGATGTAGTAGCAGTTAGTGAGTTAAATATTTTAAAATTAGGATTTTGTACAAACACCATAAACTATTTACTTAGTGAATGTCATTAAAATATGGACTAAATCTTCAGTGAATAACTTTGCTTTATGATTCGGAGTTGATAACAGTAGTGCAAGTGCATTCACTATTTATCGTTCCCCAAATTGTGTGCTTTAGTACTAATCCATACTTTTCGTTCCTCGAATTCATCTCCGAGTAGCGTCATCCATTGTTTAATCTTTCTCACTGTCATTATACCCATTATATTGACTTTGTATTCTTGTTAACTTCGTCAACTTGGCATTGCATCTAATTCACATTTGTACTAGGCTCTATAAATGACATGGTTATTCTCACAATCCTAAGATACTGTTCGTTAACTATTCCTCAACTGAATTATACACTATTGATACTTTATTGAAAATCGATGGTCACCTAAATAGATCTTAGGGGTGATTTTATCCGGGGCTCTCAAATTTGTGTTCACTTGCTGATTTTCTACGTAGCACTGTAAAACTCTTGTGTTGTAATTTTAATTCATTATAGCGTAAGCTTTTAAGTCACAAGTTAATTTCGTCTTATCTACACTGTTGTTGTCCTAACTTATCACTATTCTGATCGTTCCAAAAATCTGCATTTTGCTGACTATTTAAATGCTAACATCATGAGTAACCTATTTATTGACACCTGAAAGCTATTCATATTTTTTAGTTGCATAGGATTTATTCATTGGTAAGTCACTCCCAAACGTCACTGAAATCTATGTAGGGTTTGGTACGTCATCTTTTAGTCTGCTACCCAAGCTTTTGAGTTGTAATGTGGAGAATTTTATTTTTTACTTACGCCTGTTACTCCCAATGGAGCATAGGTCGCCGATCAGCTTTCTTTAACCTACTCTGTTCTGGACCTTCTTTTCTAATTCTATCCACTTTTTGTTCATTCTTCTCATGTCTGTCTATTTCTCGGCCTGTAGCTCCTCCGGGGGCTACTGCCGGTCCCAAGCCCGGGTAAAGAAGGAGGGTTGGGCATGGGGTTAGCGACCCCATCCCGTAGAAAAGCTAACTCGCTAAAAACGCTAACCAGAAAAAATTAAAACCATTTAAATGTGAAGAAATTAGGTGTTTAAGACATTCAAGTTTCTCCACTAGGTCTCAGGTTCAAACCTTCTCCATTCACTCCAGTTTGGGCACCCAGATAGTATCACTATTCATCATAGATAAAGTATAACCAGCCGAGTACATAAATCTCAATAAATTAAACAAATCCCACTTATAAGGTCCATAAATCTACAATTGATTGATCACTGAGTTGTAACCAATGCCATGTACGTCAAGTTTTTAGTACTGATCGAATTATATTAGTCAAGTTCATAAATTTTATAGATAGGATGATGAATATCATTAGTAGGCTTTTACATATGCTCTTCAAATATTGTTCGACTCTTATCCATTTTCTTATACAGTGAGCACTGCACCCAAAGAAAAACAAGATAACACGAAGATGACAAAAAGTCGCAAGCGCCGTCTAAAAAAGCAACAAAGAAAACAACAAGCACTTTTAGAACAGGAACTTGATGAATTAGAGGAATTGGAATCACAGGAGCATGAACGTCGTTTGTTGGATATGGGACTGATTCCTGCTGACAGTGAACAAAACCATGAAGAGCTAGAACAAGTGGATGAAAAACCTAAAAGAGATTCAGAAGTATCCCCAGAACAGTCATACTCGAATGAGGCTAATACTACCCCAACAACAGACTCATACAATATCAGTCAAAGCAAAGATTGTCATCCTACAACAAATAACACTGGTAAGTTACTGTTTTGTTCATTCTATCTGAAAGAGACCACTAAATTTCAGTCGTTTCATAATTGTCGACGAAATTACTTATGGCTAGATTTGTAAAGACTTCATAATAGTGACTTGCTCTATGATAGTCTTGATAGATTCTTAGTGTTTCATTTTAAGCTTTCAGTTGGTACCTCCTATGTACGGCATAAATCAGGTGTTACATAGCAGATCAGCTTGGAAACTTATTTACATGTGTTTAATAATCATAAATTCACTTTTTTAAATAAATGAAGATTAAGGGTCTTGTGTAACTGCTAAGATCAATGCCTCCTACAGCAAAAATCAGTGAAGGTAACAATAGGTGAACCAAACTGAAGTAAATGAGACTAACGTCCTTGTTTTCAAAGGACTAGGTACCATCACATTTAATTTTAGAAACGACTGGTCATTGAAGTGAACATTGATGGAGGAAAGTTTTAGTTGCGGCTACTTCATTTCAATTACTAATTGCTATTAGCAAAGTTAACTCATTTGCTTGTTTAAAAAAAATATTTTTCATCCAATTTCCTGACGTAAAGCTTAGCAGCCTAAACCTAACACAAGGTTTCTATACACCAAAGTACTACTTAGGTTTGGTTCGTCTTAGATCTTAGTACTGGATTGTTCTAAAGTAGAACTCAAGTATTGGTCATCGGAAATTTCATGAAGTTCATTTGGGATCCATCCACTTATCTTCAAGTCTAGGATCGGTTCTAACTATTGATCGACTGTTTACTTTTAGCTTTATGGCAATGACAGTAAAATTCATATTTAAGAGCTAATTGTCAGCCACCACAGCTTAATTAGTTAATCTAGCAATAAACGATCTCATTGATGTCTTATTTTTTGTCTGTGTATAATTTTGCCAATGAAAAGTGATGTTTGAAATGTGTGTACGTTCAAAGTATTGTGTTTATAGGTTTTTGCATATTTTGTGGTGTATCAGTCATCATGTATTTTATAATTTTTATTTATACACATAAATGTGGTATGGCAACTCGAACTGATGTACGTACGTACGAAGTTCTACGTTGTGACTGACTGATTGATACACATAAATATTGGTATAAACAGGTACCAGATACATATGCGCCCCACAAATGAAATGAGATTTGTGTGAGGGCTGTGATACTGCTCAGGTGCCCAAACTGAAGCAGGCGGTTTTCTTAGGCGGCCACACCCGAAGCCTTCGACCTAAAGGTCTGTTCCACAAGGCAGTGGAGCATCGTGAGGCGATGCATTCCCATGGTAACCAGTGATCAACAATTAGTTCATACGCTATTCGTTCCTTCAGGATACTGGAGCCCATGTGCACCACTGGTTTGGAATCAGGGTTTTCCAACTCCCCTAGGTAAACTTTCCGTGTCCATCAACCCGGTTAAAGCGCCGGACATTCGCTTTTCGTCCTCTCAATTTGGTAAACAACATCCCCGCCACGAGAAGGCAGTAAGTAGGACTTCCCTGTCAGAGGCTATATTACGCATGGCCATGTGTAGATTGTTAATAATCCACACCAACTTTGAGTCATCTTGAAATTGGGTAAATCGCCGGTACTATAAATTCAATTTCAATTTCCTGGAGGCCGTCACGTTGAAAATATGTTGAATAATTAAATTTATATCTCCTGAGAAATGGCTCTTCTCACAAATCAGTTCTATGACTTAGCTGTTCAGTTTTTCCTTGCCTCGACGATATCTAACACCTAGCAATGCTGTAGTATTTAAGTTCCGATATTTCTGTCCTATCCTGCTGAAGTATTTCTTTACAATCAAACTTAATGGTTTGCATATCCAACCGAATCCAACAATGTAATCCGGTCTAAGAACAGCCATCGTGGTTCGCCTTACACCAAAAATCTCTTCAATTTTTCGTTAACTGGTTTAGACTATCCATCTCAACTATTTGACAGTTTGACCTCATCAGTAGCTTGAGCAATCCAACTTCGAAAATTCTTGTTATCTACTGTTAGTTTGGATGTGTCGTCGATTTTTTTCAACTGTTCTACAGTCATTGGTGGTGTTTTACTTTTATCGGAAATTTAGTGTATATGCATTACGTGCAAATAATTTATTCTTTATGATGCTCACCTATTGCCCATTTTATTGGATGAACTGTACTTAAAACTTGTTCGCAAAGCTTGTTACTGTAAACACTCATACTACAGGAATCCAAAACGCGTTCATTTTCATAAAGTAGATGTCACTTGTATGGTTCTGAAATATGCAACGTGAGGCAAAAAACGTAATTTCCGGCCTCCTTTAATTCGACGTAAACCAACGGAACCACGTAAACTCAAGTCCAATGACAGAACTAACATTTCCAAAATCAAGTATTCAAGCATCTATTCAAGCAAGATGAAAAACCTTATTATCAGCCTTTTTCAAAATAACATCCGAATCCCTTCACATCTCGTCTTATTTCAGTCATCGACGCATACCTAAGAAAAACTCAGAAATCCCACTAAAAGGAACTAGTAATAAAAAGATTCAATATATTTATTGAGGCATATTTAATAAGAACATTTTCTCTATCACCCAAACTTCTTGTCAATAACTCACTCCAATTGTTTGAATCTTGATCAAACCATTTGCTAAGACTCCATTATCATGCTTGCAATGCAGACGCCTAGCATACAAGTAAAATACTGACCACCTAGTCATCTGGTTAATTGAATATTTAATTACAACGGAATATAAATCCCCGATAATTGATTGGATAATAATATTCAAATTTTTAGTGCACAGCTTCATTTTCAATTACGGATCTGAAGGTCGTGACCATAAAACAGCCACTTCAAGACTTGCGTAAACGTTATAAATCAAATAAAAAACTATGCTTACTAGTTTAGTTATAGCTTTTGGGCCACAGCATAGTATTATTGCAAGAAATTTCCTCTTGATTAGATTGGGAATGAGGATCGCAGTTATATCACTAAAAAGTTCATTAAATGAAATGTCCAACAGGTGCCTTAACAGAACAACGACTTAAAATAAAGAATGTTACTTGATCGTCTAGATGACCCATTGCGGATAACAGGAAGCTTCTTTATTTTGTAACAATTAGCTTCCATGATACAATGATGAGCAATATGTGCTTCCAAATCTGTTCGTATAGCAACTACCTTCAGGTGTTCCAAGAAGTCGGTTTTTTTCTCCCGATAAGCTTCCTATTCCCGTTCGTAGAAAAAGCATAAAAACCCTTTTTTCTTTGTTTTCGCCTGTTCTGGTAGTTGGTTCAGTGTTTATGGATACTGCGCGTGCTGTTGTCTCGGTGTTAGGCTACGCAACCTCCATTCCATTCAAGGCTTGCAGCAGTATTTTGGAGGACAAAACAACTCCCATTAATAACCCTACTAAGATGTCGTCCATTCAAAACGACGAGCAAAATCTTACATGGTTAGGCAATCAGAATGATGTCCCAGGTTTCATCAGTTATGGAGACCCCAAAATTAGGATTCCTAGCCCACTTCAACCTGGACAAAAACGTACAGCTTCCATTTCTGTCGATTTCACTCCATCTGAGTCCTCAACTGTCTCCCATGCAGATGCTTGCAGTTCTCCGCCACATCGCTCATTTATCCACCTTGCTTTCTCTCCTCTGGCTGATCGACTTGTCCGGAAGTTATCCTGGCCATTCATCTTCAGTGAGTATTTTATTCCACATGTACATCAATGCATCATCTGCTTGCTTCACAGTTGATCCGATTCCGATTAGTTGTTTTATACTACCCTGGTAAATTGCGAATGTAACTCGTGATATCGCTTCGACAGTTCTCCTAGGTCAGTTCTTCTAAGCACGCACAATAGTACCAACAAACTTGACGATAAGGTGTTTTAGTCTATGTTTCAACACTATCTACACACAGAATATAACGATAAAATGAAAAGAGGAATGAAGTTCTTGAGAAACAGCAGAAAACTTAAAGTAAATAACAAAATTCAAATAGGGAATTCAAGACAAAGTGATTCGATATTCAAGATGAAGATGCAAGTGCTCTACTTTAACTGATCCCTAGTCAAAATTTTGAGTTTTCTTCATTTAATTGATACTGGCAGCATCAGTTAGTAAATTTGTAATACGTTACTAATGTGCGATACGTGCAGATGAATACGATTAACAAATTCGATCCCAAGAAGTATCGACCAGTCACACTACACACTATCCTGCTTTAATCCTCACTATTATTTCCACAATATTAATGCTTCTTATACGGACTATACTATTTAGTTTTTCCACTCAATTCGGTGCGCTGTACTTGTTTATGAAAAGTGAATACCTCACTCTTTCTTTCAAATTTCTACATGTATGTCGAAACCGATTGTCCATTTTGATACTCAACAGTCCATCCAAGTTTGTTGATCATGAAATTCAATAACCATATATTCTTCAAAATCACCCCTGTTCTGAGATTACTCATCTGATTATATATTGAAAGCTTTCATTCTTGTGATGATTATTTTAGTACCATCCATTGCTCATTTTTGATACGTTTTATGTTCTAGGCATTATAGCTCTGATATGATTGATCAGATTGCCATCTTGGTGTTCAAAACATTCCTTTAATAACCGAATATTAGTTAATTCTCATGGTCAGTATACTAAAAGCTAACTAACTGTCTCCGGTTAATCATCAATACAGTCGTTTTTAGGGTTTTTGTAACGTTACCGTTTTCCCAGCAACTAGTAATATTTATCATTCTTATGTTTGCTTTGAGGTTTTCGCTAATATTTTCTTTATTCAATAATACTCGTTGAATTTTAAAGTTAATGCTTTTTCTCAGCCCTCACACAAATCAAATGAGATTCGTGCGGTACATATGTATCTGGTGCTTCCTTGTATCAATATTTATGTATCTAAATAAATAAATAAATCTTTTTTTGCATAAAAATACGTCAACTTCCTATGTTTTATTTTAAAATCCTAATTTCGTACTTTTTTGCTTTGACTAGGATCACCCAACGCCTCTACAATGCCACAGTGTAAAAATGACACAGAAGAGTCAAAAGATCATACTAAACATGAACAGAATAAGGGTCCAACTGACTTGTCGGAAGAAAGTGATCAAGTAAGTTTCATGATATTCTTTATCCATTGTGGTATAATCTTCACTCTACCAGATAAACAAACATTGACCTCGTTAGCTTATAATGCAATTTTTGAAAGTAGGCTAAGACTAATCACACTAAATATCAAAAGTGACTAAGTGATACCCGTTACTAAATCATTGACTGTCCAACGTTCTCTTTTTTTTAAATGAACGGTCATATTTCAAACATGCTTCTACTAAACTAGTATTCTGGTGCTGGTTGCTTATATCCACATAAGTAGTATATGACGATGGCAGAGAATGTTTTACGATAGAAGATCGAGAAGGAAAGAACGGAAACGAAACGCAATTGGTATGAAAATGTATGAACAATAATAATAGGAGACTATGGACTGATATTTGCAGAAGGAATGGTCGAGATTGAGACAATTGATTGATAGTTTGCAAATTAACCGTTTATTGTATGGATGTCAGGTTTTAGTGAGATAGTTTGCAATTTCCGTATCAAATACATTCGATTGTCTCCGCTCGTGTTCTCATTCACTACAGTATCACAACTCATGTCACAATCTTATTTGGAACCGATGAGTACAACAGTGTACCAAATTTTGAATCATACCATAGGATTTCCGTAATTAACTCATGGAACTAAAACTAGACCATATCCTACAATTAAAACTGTACAATCCCCATCATAGATGGTTGTCATACATGGATACATGCAACTTGTTAAGATTATTCGCCACAAGGCAATCACTGTTATGCCTGAAACTAAATCGATTCCGCGGTAACGAACGAAAACCAAATGACACAATGACACGATAAGCTATTCTAATCTGTTGTCCCAGGCCCCGCTAACTAGATGAAGAAGTCCAAGGCAAGTAGGGGAATATATATGTATTCCGTAAGCAGCCGAGTACAAGCAATCCAATAAGGGGAAAAGTCAAGCGCATTTATACAGCAACAAATTGTCCTTGAGCATTATTGGTAAATAGCACACACAAAGAAACAACGGACCAATAGCGTTTAAGATAGTTTACAAGTGGGAAAATGACGTGAAGGTAAAAAGAGCGCTTTTGGCGCGAAAACAGCTAAATTCAAATTTTCAAAATAAATTTACAAGATTAAGCCATTTACCAAGTAAGTTCTGGGGATTTGACATCCCCAACAATCACGTCTACTCAAACATTTTAATTCGCTTTGGAATTGTGTTAGGCTAATGCTTAATATGTTAAATAATATCAAATTTGTGGGTTCAAGTTAATATCTATTTAAGAAATCAATAACCCATGTATTGATCCTCGTGGTAGATGAGAAAAACTAAGATCACGTCTCAGGTTACACAAATAAAGCTAGTTTCATATAACAGTCACTACTCATAGAATTATATATACAGTTATACAAGATCTATCAGTCATCCTTGTCTCTTGATTACATTTATATTTTGTCTTCTGAATTATCCATCTAACTGTTGATATCTTTGTGTACTTTTAATTTACATGCAATCGATTATTCGGCTATAGTCTATAAAAAAATGCGTCCTTGCATCTGTGATCTAAAATAACATAGAAACTAATCTTAGCTAAGAAATACCTTAACTAAAACACCGGTTCCTTTTTAGAAAATCTAAACGATACGGACTTTAAACAGCAAAGTATTAACTGGAGACCAAATATAGTAATTGTCTTATGTTGCAGATCTATAATTTTATATAATCATTCAATTTACAACAGAGTTAATCATTTAACTATTGAGTAGTCGAAAAACTTGGATTTCTGTCTCTGCTCTTAATTTAGTACCTATTACTTACACCTTATTTCCAGATCGAGATATTGTTCTATTTTGAGAAATCATCGATTTACTGATTTGAGTTGCACAGTGAATTTCGGAAGTTTTGTTTGGTCTGTGAAATGTTTAACCGTATACTGTATGATATTGCTTTAAATATTTCATTTAAGCACAAATTCCATTCATTCTTTAACATCCTGAAAGCTTTCACTTAGTTTCATCCATTAATCTTCCCACTATAATAAAAGTATTAATAATAATTATTATGTCCTCTTCTTTGCTTTTATTAATATCCTCGACTTATTAATGTAAAGTTCGGGATTTTTATTCTAATGCTGCACCCAGTTCCGACATTTTTATCTAACCATTAATCCATAGACGTCCGAAAAGCCGTACTAATTAATTAAAGTCGAAACGAATAAATAAATAAAATTTTTGAGCTCACAAAACTTAAGTATAGTTCAGATCAGTAAGGGATTCTGTTCTATTTGGCGCATGATTTGTTTATTGAATGTTTCAACATACGGTAAAAAAATCGTATTTAGAAGATACTTTCACTCGATCCAAAAGCGACCATAAGTAAAGGCTGTAGAGATTGTTAGTGTTAGTGTTGACAAGTACATACTATAATGAAGGAAGGAATCAATGATAAAAAGGATGATAGTACGTTGTAAGAATTAACATGTTTCTAAATCATTGTGACTGGTCACACTCGATTTTTTTTCATTTTTATGATTATCTCTCTTCAAATTGATTTCCATTTAGTTTCTACAAAAAGACAATGAAAGTGGCAGTGGACTGGCTGTTCGTCGTCGAGTTAAAAAGCTTCCAGATCATTCTGGTGCTGCCGATGACAAGGCTGATATTCCACTGGCTTCTGTGACTGAACCACAGAAAACGACAAATACTGGTGATCGTAGGTCCGTAATCATTCAACCAGATGGGCTTTTGGCAGCAGCTGCAGCATCAGTGATGTCTAGTACTTCTCATTCTCCACCGGAATCCTCAGCAAACGATGGCCGAGCTCAGGTCAAATCGAATTTCACGAACTCAAGGTCAAATGAAACTGAAGGAAATGAAAAGAAACTTAATTCTGAGTCTAAATCAACTCTGACAGCAAACAGTACTGGTGAAGGTAGCTCCAAACGGTTGAGTTTGGTTGCACCATCTAATAACAATTCAGCTTCTGGTCAAAGTGCTTCAAACAAACGTCGGTCACTGCTTTTCGAGACTGTGATACATGAACCTGATGCTAGTAAAGAGGTAATTTTCTTTAGCAATTTTCAAGGAAATTGATTGCAATTGAAGATTTAGTATTTATAATACTGGGATATCCACATTTAAAACGCAGATTTTTTTTAAAAAGTTTCTAAACAAAATAAATTGTTTTGGCACTTGAAACCTGATACAATAGGTTTGTTTAAAAAACTCATTACGACAGTCCAAATATTTATACTATGACCCAAAACCATATTTTATTACATTAAAGTAAACAACCGATCCTAGTTAGACCACCATTAGTCGGTTACTCACAACGTTGAACCTAGTACGTAAATGCATCGGTTCAAGTTGTTATACCCCACTAGCACAGTGAGGTGAAACTGTCAGGCCAAATTCCAGAATGGTAGGAGAAGTAGAAGTACCAATGGTAATACATAAGATTAGAAATTGGAGATACTGTTCGAGAAAAAATTATAAATTAGTGAAATAAAGACAAAAAATATTACGAGGAAGTCGGAAGCTTAGAATTGAGAGAACAGAAAATAGATACACCTGTGCCCTTTCAAATGATTTGGGCAATGTCATTCAATGCCTCATACCACTGGTTGCAATAATCACACTGACCCCAACCAGGTAATCTATACCTATCAACGTGGCTCAGTCCAATTGTCAGCGATTTCATGGACTGATGCCACGTTTAGGTTTGGCCGCCCCTAGATTTCTTCCAACTTACGTCGAGGTACGGGACGGTTGGGGGATATGTGACACATGTCCCGACCACCTCAGTCGATAAAGACTTACTAACTTATCGATCGATTTCCCATCTTTACTTAATATACTATCCCTATCCTAGGCATTGCTTACTCAGTGGTCCAAAAGTAAACGACCGGTAATCCGACGACACCTATGATCGAATATTAGTAACCTACAAATATCTTCTGTTTGTAATGTTCATGTTTCACAGCCATAAAGTAGAACAAAGCAAACAACTCGCCCTTTAGTTAGAAAGTATGTCTCACCTACTCCACAAATGACGCAAGTTGCCAAAAGCCAATCGAACTTTCTGAATCTGAATTTCGTCAGAACACTAGTCCTGATATGACTCCCAAGATAAGTGAAGCGGTCGATACGTTCAACTACTTCACTCCCTATCATTAATTCAGGCGATGACGCAAGCCAGTTCCAATGTAAGATTTCACATTTTGAGGAGGAGAACTGCACACTAAACATGCTTGGATTGTTGTTTAAGTTGATCAGACTGAATTTTGTCAGCATACAAAACTATACCATTTGCGTACTTTAAGTCAACAAGTAAATCTTCTGGTAGATGAATCCTTGAAAAATCAGACTATATAGTACTTACTTACTTACTTCATAATCGATGACAAAGTTAAATAAAAATGGTGAAAGCGAACAGCCCTAACGAATACCACTTTAAGTAACTAATTCTGATGACAGTTCTGCATAAGCTCTGAATCGATCGGTAGTGTTCGAGTAGAGAGAGCCTATACAAGGTTGATGTACTATTCGGTATACCTTTGAATGACAAACATTGCCACAGAACCTCACAATCAACAAAGTCAAACACCACCTTAAGGTTAAGGAATACAACTATTGTTGAACGTCGGAAAGTATGTCTATGTTCTAGAACATGGAAAAGGGCAAGTATTTGGTCTATGCACCCACGTTCAGGTCTGAGACCAGCCTGGCTTCCTCTTCATAAGCTCTAGTTAGGCGTCGAAGTATTATTGAGGCTAATAGTTTTAAACACCGGCATATAACAGTGTCAGCATGTAACCTTAATCAGTCCACGAGCTAATCGTTGTCGGGTATTAGATACCCCAACTTGGATAATGGAAGATGGTTGCACAACATCATAATGATGCATTTAATTCATAACGGTCAAAATAGATGTTCTGTTTGATCTTATTATTGTGAGCTATTGCTTTATACGAGTGTGCTATCCGATTAATGTCGAGCAATATCAGTGGTCACTTTTAACAGTTACCGAATAACCCGAAGTGTTTTTCGTTTCATCCATAAACTGAACTTATTGGGTTGAAGGCATTTCAGCATGATAGTTCACAACTTTCAATTATCTGATAGTTATCAGCTTGGGTTGTGTTTGCAGTTACTCTTGCGCAGGCGAAATACCCAATTTTTTTAGACTCATTTATTTGACTTAATTCATTCTACTGTAATTCGTTTATTCCGCAGCCGTGTGATATTGAAGTGAAAATCGCCGATTTGGGTAATGCATGCTGGACTTATCGTCATTTTACTGAGGATATTCAGACTAGACAGTATCGAGCCCTGGAGGTTCTCATTGGCTCCGAATATGGACCACCCGCAGATATTTGGAGTACGGCTTGTATGGTATGTGTTTTTTTGTGTTTAGCACCTTATGTGTTTCGTCAAAATAAAGATTTATATCAGTTCTGTTTAGTAAGTCACTATACAAGTTACATAGCACTTCAGACGTACTGGTTTCTGCTCACTACAGGCACGTTGAATCTCTACAAAAGTACTCAATACACACTTGTGGCAATATGACAAACTTGGGTGTAATTTCTGTAATCAAATTCAAATTTTACCAAACAACCGGTTTTTAATTTATTCAAACACTAAATCATCACTACACCCACAGCACAATAACATTTACTTGGTTATCATCAAACTGAAATACCATGTAAACTTGTAGGAAGATTTGTATTATTACTCGGAAGAATAATATTTTTGACACATTTTCCAATGCATAGAGAAAACGTAATGAAAAAGAAATACATTTTTAATTCAGGATAAAAATTGTCAGGTTATTTTATCTTTATAACAAATAATCTTTCTAACTATACTAATTGTCGATATAAAGATGACAGATGTAGATCTATGGACATAACTTCCGATTAAGAATTCTTCGGTTCACATTATTAGATGCCACGAAAACTCAAGTGAAAAATAAAGGAAGTGAAAGTATAGTCAATATGTGTTCACTAGGACCAATAACATTTTATCACGTGATTTATTCACCAATCGAAATACGACTTATCTGATCTTAACACTGTACCAAATCAATGACGTTCAACTCTCATGAGCAATCTAGCGTCCTTATTGGTCCCTTGTTCGCCTAGCCCTTCCAATTCAGTTCAGAACGCCAATCACAGCTTCTGCTATGTGAATCATTTATTTCAAACATACTCGGTTCATATACCAGACAGACAGACGGCATCACACCATTAAATAGAAAATAATATTTGTACAAGTTCAAGCCAAATGTGGCTGTGAACGTGGGAAACAGTAATCAATAAACTGAACAGTAATTCGTATAATAATGATCGATAGGTCAAAATGATGCTTATAATAAGATGGATATATATAGATTAAATTTAGTCACTGAATATTTATGCAACAACAATATATACAGAATAATAGTCCAATAATAGGTCCCGGAAGTTACCTGTACTTATGTCTTCACTAGGATATAACAGTGGCAATCCAATTGACAACAGTATTCTCTGACATTTATTGTTCTAAAGATTGCGTACTGTTTCAAGGCCAAACAGATCACACGACGTCACGAAGCTAAATGGTTTGTAGAGAATAAAAATATGGTAACCTGTTGTGAATGTGCAGTTTATTCCTACAACCTACGTCACTCTGAACGACATTTACATGATATCAACATGTCTGTGTATCCGTGATCTCTGTAAACACTCATCCGGCGTTTTGGATGCATTTAGTCTTCCTACTTTATCAGATCTGGTTGATCAAGCGTTAGACAGTGTTCATTGTTACTGTATCAAACCATAGAACATAAAAATATTCTGGCGACAAGAATGATCACCTGATATATACATATATATATATATATATATATATATATATATATATATATCAAACGGTTTACCAAAGCCCATCATTAGGTCAGGAATTCATGTCTATTTTAGAGTACCGACAGGTTTCTAAGAAATCACAGATATGAATATTTGAAAGGGGAGTAACAGTTTCTCCCAATTACATTCAGTTCAGGTTATTCGTATGATTCAGGTGAAGTATCAGCTACATCAACGACCAATGACATTATTGAGTCACATTCTTACCGTATGGTAACGAGATAAAATGACCACCATACTTAACATTGTAATACAATGAATACATGCTCACATTCTCTACCTAATGTTCATGTCTCATTCAGTACATGCGAATTATCTCGTAATACATCTAATTTCTATTACAAATCACTAGAACTGTAAATTTTTGTATTTTTGAATTTATATTGCTCTAAAATCAATAATTCTGATTAGCATGGTATCAACAACCATAAGCAAACATTATTTAAGCCTTTCAAATTCTCTATCAAATCTAATCCACCGCTTTCATTATCAAATAATCAACTTAATGTATTCCATCCATATTCTATTAATGAAATTAACAATCCAATATCGTTTATATCCGTGAATGATTCGCTCCAATCATCCAGTGAAAATTTCACTAAGTCAAATATCCATCAACCAGAAAGAAAATCCTCACATATCCCAGGAAGCCTTCACGATTGCAACAACTGATTATGTGTGCATCCAGTTTGCACCAACCACTCTCAATCCGTAAACATTGCAATCAGAATATATGAAGAGCTATAAGGTAATATACTCCGTCTGAATCAATATATGCCACAAATAGTACGTATCTAATGTTAATACTGACTTCAATTTTGTTCACTGTCAACCAGTTTAATTACAGTTAACTTCTCAATAGACTATTATTGATATATAATACATCAATTACCTTTTTCTATTATAGGCTTTTGAATTGGCTACGGGTGATTATCTTTTCGAACCTCATTCTGGCGAAGATTATACACGAGATGAAGACCACCTAGCACATATCATTGAATTATTAGGCCCCATACCTAGAAATATTGCTCTTTCAGGAAAATACTCCCGTGAATATTTTGATAAACGAGGTACGTTAGTCAAACGCTTTTTGCCAAACTTAAAAATAGATCAGTATCAGTATGTATTTATGCTAATTTCTCAACCTGTTCTTAACAGAAATGGCAAAAAGTTCACATAATTGATAATTAGTCCTTATCGTTCCAGTTATCCATTAGGACGATAAATTAGTGTTTAAAGCACTTTTAAATAAACCATGAGGTTTTTTTCTAATTGCACAAAAGAATAAAAGTTTGTTTACAGTTTTATTTTGTGTTCCTGTCAAAGGTTAATATAAAAATTGAAATCACCATATGAATTTTCCTTTGATTCCAATAACCAGCTTGTTTACGTCATATACATCGCTTGAAACCTTGGAATTTATTTAATGTCCTCACTGAGAAATATGATTGGCCACCAAGTGAAGCGGCTCTTTTCACCAGTTTTTTGGAACCAATGCTCGCTTATGATCCTAATAAAAGAGCGTCCGCGTGGGATTGTTTACAACATTCCTGGATAACTGGTCAACCGTATTCCCCATCAGTTGAAGAAGGCCTACCAAATCATATCCCATTTGGAGTGAATATGCCAGATCCATTGATGGGTGACGTCTTATCTAATCCTGGTACATATTACCATCCACATATCAATCAACCAAATGTTGTAGACCCCGCAAATACTGCTGGCTTGTGTTACAGTCAACACCCACACTTAAACAAACAATATCCGACAGTCCATTGCGTTGCTCCACAATCTAGAAACAGTCGTTCTGTCAACTACATACCACCTGAACTATCTTTCAGTGGAAATGTCAATCCATCTGAATATCACTTATCCTATGGTTCCGAAATGGTTGTGGGTGGGGAGAATATGCCGAATCGTAGTATGTGTTTACCGGATTCTCACTTTCAACCATGGTCTTCAAAACTTATGGGCTCAAAACGACTAGATGTTGTTGGCAATGTGGATGGTCCAATAAAATTGGATGTAAGTTTTTTTAATCCCCCTTGATGTACTTCTAGTTTATACTTAACTTTGAACAGTATTCAACTATTTTGATTGATTTTTTGTTCACCTAATCTTTAATCCTAAACCTTGTTATGATTCACATAAAGGTTCTATTGACTACAATGGTCATTTTATCCTAGTTTATTGCAAAAATTTACATATTTACCAATTTGTACAGCTTATGACGCAAATGAAATATCTACTGGCAAATCAACGCCTAATGGACTGTTGAAAGTGATTTATGAAAGTAGATGATATGCATTTGCAATCATGAATGTCTTCGAAACATTGCTCAGTTATAATAGGACCACTATGTAAATAACCCTGAGGTGAAACGTTAGGGTATCTTGTAGAAATGTTGAACCAATTGATAAAGTTGTTCATCCTCATCTCAGGCACCTGGCACCTGTGTTACATGTTTAGCCATCTCCTACTACGACGTGTATTAATGGCTATCGTAAGCACTGGTTTGATGAAGGGTCAGGTAACTAGGCAAAGACATAGAACCAGTTTCGAAGTCACATTGAGACGTGACGGGATGTACATAATTCTCATGTAAGGTCCCACCGAAACCGAGCTCAAGGTTCGTCCCAGCTGCGTAGCTACATTCGTTGTTTATGTCCCAAATCTGTTATTCCACACGTTCTATACTCCTATTGGTTTCATTCGTTCTTATATTTTTGTATTTAATATTTTACGATCATGGATATTACCATTATCTTGACACCACTCCTAATCTCATTAACCCCTCTTCCGCGCTGTTATTAAATGTGGTCACTTGTACTAATGGATACCAATACCAGGACATATTCCGTTGATAACTGAACGACCGAACTGTTTGTTCTACATATGTATTCCTTGATAAAAAGCTTATATCTCCAGAAATTCATTAAATCATATTGTAAAACATTGTTAATGGGACAGTTCGAGGCGGATGTACAACTCTTAGTAAATTTCGATAGTGTAATAAGACGAAGATTATCAGAACTATATTAGCGCAATACATTTCGAACAATTTGATCACACATATACTTGTTAAGAACATTTATGTATAAAAATATAAGGTCAAGTAGATTAGAAATGGGAAAATGAAACAGGTTATAAGATTGATCCTAATTCGGCTTTTGTAGTGTTGTACAAAAGTGTAAAAGGGCGTATACTAAGGTTTATTGAAGCCTTAGCCGTATGATAATTCAAGCCCCCTTTTGTGTACTCAAAAACAGTTTGTTGTCACCTTAAACGTACCCTGGTAATATTAGCTTATCCAAAGTGATGAGGTCCCAAATTGTCTTCACTTTATTATCATTGTCTCCTCCTACCCTCCATTTCTAGTCTAGCTGGCTCTTTATTTTTATATATAAATGTTTATGTTTGTTCAGATTATTCGGAATGTATTGTGCTAATCTATCATCAGATAGTTCTAATAATCTTAGTCTTATTACACTATCGAAATTTATCAAAAGGACTAATTATTTTAAACTCTTAGTAAAATGTTCCAGTTTTATTCATTGAAACGTTTAAATAATTCATTATTCTGAACAAGATAGTCAAAATATATATGAAAAAGTCACACTGAATGCTTCTTTGTTTCAGTGTTTTAATGTTTATCTTAAAAATGTAACATTCATACAATATTCTTTAAATTTTATACAATTAAGATAATATTCTGACTGCCATCGTTGTATGTTTTTCAAACACGTTCAAATATACTGAAAAAAATGATAATCGGTTGCTACCATTTTTATATCTAAAAATATCTTGTTCCATTGATCGAATACTTTTGTTTCACTGTACTTAAAAGAAAACTTAGTATTTGCCTAAATCCACGCTTAAATGCATTAATTTCAGTGACTTTGTTAAATCAAAAAATTGTAGAAAGTTCAGTTATACTCATATATTCCCTGTAAGAAGTCACTAATCATTTGATTGTTCAGATCTATTTGACAGCAAACCAGTCATTCAATGCGTTTATTTCCATGAATATATGATTCTTTTGTCTAGATACATTTCATTAAGTATGTTCGTTCTTTCCTTTTCTTTTACAAGCCTGTTCATGTTGGGAATTTCATACACAGTCTACCAGATCTCAGTCCTGCTCCTAGTGATGACGATTATGACGAAGAAGATGACGAGGACGACGACGAGGATGATGATGATGAGACTAAGGAAGGTGAAGAAGATGAAGATGAAAGTGGAGATGATGAGGATCCTCGAATGCATTCATTACACCACCATCATCGTCAACATCATCATCGTTCTCACTATTATGGACATCCATCTAATACATCATCTGTTTATCAGTTTTTGGATCCACCCCATATAATGCCGATAGAAACTTCTGATCATTCACATTACACTGACCCTTTAGCTATGGCAGTAGCTGCTGGACTACCACCTAGTAAGGCTGCTATACTAGCTTATGCAGCACAAGCTCTTGGACCAGATACTGTTTGGGCTGGTTTAGCTGCAGCAAAAAAACGTCAACAACAGCAACAAGCGCAACCAACGAGTAATACAGAAGAGACAACTTCCAATTCACTCACAAATAACGATCATGTCATATTAACTACCTCAACTGGAAAAGCTGATGATGTTGGTACACCATGCAACACTGATTCATTGCAACAACAAAAGAAGGAAATAGATAATGAATCACATAACAGTGGACTTGATGTAGAAGATGTATCTAATTATTTCTCAACTTCACTTGAAGTACGTTCTGCTACAAGTTCTACAACCGAGGATATATCTAATACTCCCGATTATGTGAATAATATATCAGATATAAGGAATTTTGATTCTGAATTGCAGCATACAGTGAGTGAAACTATCACCCATCAATATACTGAACCGACAGAAACGCTTACAGAAGCTTAGTTTTCAAATTCCAATTTATCTGATCTCTATCTCCTGTTTTGTGGGAACCACCTATAGGCTTTCATTTTATTACTCTTATCTTAATTCACATTCACTACTATCTCATAAAACAAAATGCCGTCTGTAATTCGAATGTTCTTATTAGAAGAAAAAAAGATTTTCAAATTAGTTCATCTTATTTAATGATGTCTATTATTATTATTATCAACATCATATTAATATCAATAAATTAAAAGTTTGATGAACACATTCACCGATTAGTAATGGTGGTTTTTCTGTCAATTATGTCTTCTTTTTTGTTTTCAGTTTACATTCATCATTTCTCTCGACACATGTGGTTGGTTTTTATACATCATATGAAACAAACAGCCTCGTAAACTTTCTCACATATATATGCATATAAAGACGTTGTTTCAATTTATTCTTTGCTTTTATCCAATCCAACATATCTACCCTCTCAATTTATTTGAAACATATTGTTCCAAGATCAGATGTAAAACCGGGTATATATATATATATATATATATATATATATATATATATATAGTAGTTTTACTAACTACTGTACTATTCTTGTCAATAATTTTGTCATTTCTCTTTATTTTTCCTTTCCTATATAACAACTTGGACCTCTAGTTGTTTGAACACTGTGAAATTTCCATTATTTGTAGACATTTCTTCTATCGGCATAACCTTGGCATTGTCCGTACCCATTTTATATATATATTTATATATATATATATATATGCAACCCTCATTTAGGTTAATCATTTCGATTATATATAAGAAAGGACCCTTTGCATATTTCATCATTACAAATCACTGCCCCACCCTTTTAACAGTCCCATTGTACGTTTTAGTTGCTCAAATTGTTTCTAGCAACTTCATGGGAACTGTGTTGTAAACTATACTCTTGTCATTAGTTTTTTTGTGTGCTTCCATTTTCATTAAAATCATTTTTCGTTTGTGCGTGTTTGTACATCTACGAACATATAACCACTACTGCGCGTGCCGTTCCGTCTATTCTTGTGTTAGCAAGTGAGATAGAGGCAGTCAGTTGTGTTTTAGAATTTTTTAAGATTTAACAACTATTTGCTAAAAAGATTACTATTATCATCATTATCAATACTATCACTAACTGACAGCTGATGTCTTTTTTTTCATTATTCCTATTTCTGCAAAACCACTGAACAACCCATATTTCAACAATAGAAGAAGACTTATTCAATGGTCATGTTATGCATTTTAAAATTATTTGATTTGTTGAGCATTACATTAAAACTAATGTCATAAATAGAAAATATGTGATCTAATGCCAATTTATGCGACTCATGTTTATACTGTGTTGTTGTAAGTAAATATTCACATGAATGCGAAAATGCCTTAATTCCACTGCTATCTTATTTCTTTATTAATCCATACAATAAACAACCAATGATAGTGGTGTAACTTACTATAAACTATTTGAAAATAATTGGTCAGTTTTTGTTCCTAATTTTCATATATATTAAGAGTTATGCACATACCCGATTACTTCTCATGTTCCATCATTTATCCCGTGTTTTACACCGTGTAATACTGCCAGAAAAATTAATGATAAATATTACTTCGAAACTGTTAAATTAGGTGTCATTGTGTTTTATTTCTTGTGTGTATTTGTGTACCTACATTATCGACTATCCTTAAACAGATGTTCAAACGAATTTGGCTGTATAATTTAGTTAGCCAAAAGATTTCGTAATAATCGATAACAGCACTGTGTTACCAATCTAGACTGCGTGATTTGTTCTGTTTTCTCTGTTGATTTTGTGTGTTCTTGCTTTATCTTAACTAGTCAATTATTCCCCTAGTAACTACTATCCTTTGCCTCATTCAAATTGGTTCAATCATTAAAATACGTCATTTCCAACTGTGTAAAAAATAGTTACGCAAATCTGTTTTCTTTTTGTGAATCTGGTATCATGGGAATATTTATTTATTTCTTGAGTGGATAATGGATACATGTTCAAGTTCAAACCTGGTTGTAGTTATCAGAAAAAAGTGGATTTATGCTGTGAATGTTTTTATAGTGGTAACGGGTGTTTAATTCCATACTACGTTTATTCTATTGTCTTTGGACGGAATATATATAATCTATAATTTTAGTATGATCTCGATGTAATAAGGAGACGAACATTATCAGAACTATGTTGATTAATTGCTTTATAGTACGATCGATAATGCCATTACATCATGTTTGGTTAGAAATAAAATAACAACTAAATCGTCGAATACGTGGTTGTTAACTGAACGTAAAGACACTCACTCTAAAGGCTATTAATGTTACTAATTTACTTACTCCTGTTACTACTCGTAGAGGAACATCAGCCGTCCACCAGCATCCTCCACCGCATTCAGTGTTGGAAATTCCTTTACAGTTGCTATTTATTCTCCTGATGTCCGCTTCCCATTCTCGACTCAATGTGTTCTTTGGCCTCTCTTCCGTTTCCCTTCAAGATTTCAAGTTAGCACTTCGTGATTCAGTCAGATGATTTCCTCAATGTGTGTCCTATTCACTTCCACTGTCTGCTAATTTCCTCTTCAATCGTAAGTTGGTTTGTTCTCTCCCACAGTAGGTTGTTGCTGATGGTATCCGGTGAACAGACATTATGTATTCTGTGAAGACAATTGTCTATAAATACTTGCACATTTTTGATGGTTGTGCTAGTTCTCGAAGATTCACCTCCGTACAGTCGAAATATGTTAACGTTCGTATTAAAGATTCTCACTTTGACGTTGACCTGCAGACAGTTGTTATGAGTTTAATATGTTCTTCGCCCGTAGGAATGCTGCTCTTGTTTTCTCAAATCTTGCCTCCACATGGATTTCGTAAGAAACATGTTGTCAGTATCACAATTGGCGCACTTTATGGAGGTAGCGTTGCAACATACAACTGATGGTCGAGAATAGATACATGCGAAGTTGGTGGCTTTCAGGAGCTTCAAGCTTATATCTTCTGGAATATCTGAGGCCTCAAATCTCGCCTCATCAGCATCAGATTCTCCTTGTCTAGTCGCATACAAGCTGTCCACCGTATTCCGTGCTTTCCCTAAGATGTGGAGGTTTTCATAATCCAGTCAACCACCAGAAGGAAGAGGAATGGCGAGAGTAAGCAGCCTTGCCTGACACCGGTCCTCAATTAGAATGCATATCAGCTGTCTTGCATGCACTACTGCAGTGTAGTCTGTGATGTACTCTGCTTGTATCGACTGATATAAGTAGTATGTAACACCAATCGGAAGTGGAAAACCTGGCAGAAGAAGGAGTTGAAGAGAATAGGAGGGAAAATGGATAGGAATTAGGAAGTTAATGAATCAGACAGAATGTGAAGGGCAGATAACGGAAATTTACGAATGAAGTAATCAGGGTATGGTTCTTACATTTTAGTAAGATGATCTGTAATCTTGTACTAAGATAAAATCGGTTGTCTCTACCTGGTACCAATAGTATTGTGATTTCTCTGTAGTTCTCACGTCTGCTCAGATCCTGTTTATTTGGGATCTTGGTGAGGTACCCTTCTTTCCGGTCTGTCGGCACATGTTCCCCCTCCCAAATCTTCGTGAATAGAACATGGAGCATGTTTGCAGTTGCTTCTATGTTTGACTTCAGTTGGTATATTGTCAGGTCCTACTGTTTTCCCACTCTTGATTCGTCTGATGACCATGCTGATTTCTTCCGTTGTTGATGGAGTGACATCAATAGGATGGTCAGTGTGCGGTGGGTTCAATGGGGTTGGCCTATTTAGGAGTTCCTCGACGTGTTCCACCCATCTGTTCCTCTGTTTTAGAATCCCAGTGACTGACCTGCCTTGTTTGTCTTTAACCAGTTTCTCTTATTTACTACATTTCCCTTCCAGTTTCTTTTTTGTGTCATACGGTTGTTTGATATTTCGTACTGTTGCAGCTTTTTCCGCTGTCGTTGCTAGCTCTTGCTCGTATTTGTTTGTCGGCTGTAATGCTCTTCTTCACTTGCTTGTTTTCTTCCGTGTATTCAGTATTTGCCTCGACTTCCTCTGCTCTTGTTCGTCTGTTGTTAATTGCTGTCTTCTTGTTCTTTCTTTCTTGAATCTTGTCCAAGTTTTCTATAGAGAACAATTCCTTATGATGATGCTTTTTACGATCGACAACCTCCTGACACGTTGAAGTTAATGCTTCCTTGATCCCTTTCCAGTTGTCCTCCATAGTAGTTTCTTCTTTCAGTAGATTATGTAAGGCTTGGAACGTGTTGTTGAGAGCTATCTTGAGTCGGTTGTGTTTGTCAGTATCTGGAAGGAGTGTTGTGTTGAACCTTGGTATTGCTGTTTGTCCAATTATCCTATGCTTCTTTAGCTTCAGTTTCATATTGGCAACCATCAGTTGGTGGTGATCTGAATCTATGTCAGCTCTCCTTCCGGATCTCACCTCTTCCATTGACCCTTTGAAGTTGTTTAATGATGCAAATGTGATAGATTTACAATGTATAATTGGGTGGTTCCAAGTTGAATTCCGTAGCCCCTTTGCGTCTGTTTATATAAACTCAGTTTTATTTTTTATTACCTACTTCAAAGTGGAAGAAATGTAATTCTTTAAAAAATCTACAGAATCTGAATGTATTAAGGAAAACTATGTTAATTATCAATGATATTTATCATAATGGTTATTATCTATAACTAAGTTTATATAATATACATATAACTGAAGTTGTGTTTTCTGTTGTTCGATATTTTATTACCGAATTAGTGGATGTTCGTCGTATGTAAAAATTGTTTATAATTTCTCTAAAGTTGGTTTCTGTCTTACAAAAGAGCTTTGTTATAATATGATAATATGTCAATCACTTTACAAACAAATGGCTTATTCAATGTTGTAATCTTATTTTAACACCTAACAGTGACAAGTCACATCTTTTCTAGTGGATTTTCTTATCATATTAGTATAACGTCTGTACTCAATATTCATTTAATGTTGTCTTGATACTGAGTGAAGTTATTCTGAAATAGTTGAGATTCTATTTTAAAAAAATAAGTAAAATTATGGCTTGCTCACCAGTCACTTTTTTCAATGATTAAACATTGCTGCTCTTATTTTGATTGACCTAAATGTGTTCTTAATATAACGGTTCACATAAAATCTGTCATTACAATAACTGTGTTATTAATAAACATCAGCGTGTTCGCATCTTGGATACTGAATCCCTCGATTCTTACGGTCTTTTGTAATTCTATAATCTCAAACGCTTGGACGAAATCAGTAAATAAAGGTACAACTAAATGTTCTCAATAGCTAATAACATACAGGAACCTCAAGGGTTGAAACCCAGTTTTAGACCCTCGAATGGTTGCTCGTTTCTATGCACTTAAACGTTAAGTCGAAACTTGTATATGTTCATTCTTGGTTCCCAACGTATACCGATTGAGGACGAAATGTACCAGATAACAGTTGCAATGATTCGTAGAGTTGTTTAAGACTCCCCACATTGTTTCTGGT